GAGCGTGTGTGTTGGATTTCGGCGGGAGTTGGGACACATATTTGCCTTTGGCAGAGTTTTCCTACAACAAAAGCCATCATTCGAGCATTGGTATGCCACCCTTTGTGCTGTTGTATGGGAGGAGGTGTCGGACCCCCATTTGCTGAGGAGAGGTAGGGCAACGTGTAATGGGTAGTACGGAGATTGTGCTTTAGACGACGGAGCAGATACAGCAGGTCAGCTAGAGGTTGTTGACCGCTCAGAGTCGTCAGAAGAGTTATACGGACAGGCGTCGGTCCGAGATCGAGTTTCAGGTCGGTGATTTCGTGCTCCTGAAGGTCTCTCCTTGGAAAGGAGTGATTTGATTCAGGAAGAGGGGCAAGTTGGGGTCTCGATATATTGGACCTTTCAGGGTGATCTCAAGGGTAGGCAGGGTAGCCTACCGTTTGGAGCTACCTGCGGAGTTGGCACAGATTCACGAAACTTTTCACGTGTCGCAGTTGAGAAAGTATATAGTCAACGAGTCAGCAGTAGTACCGTTACAGGATATTCAGGTGGATGTGGGCATGAACTATGTTGAGAGACCGGTGGCAATTAGAGATCGGAAGGTCAAAGTTCTGAGGAACAAGGAAGTGCCTCTAGTGCAGGTGCAGTGGCAGGATAGGAAAGGGTCAGAGCTGACTTGGGAGCCAGAGCGCAAGATGCGTGAGCAGCATCCAGAGTTGTTTGCAGAATGAGACTTCGTGGGCGAAGTTTGATTCTAGTGGGGGAGAATTGTAACATTCGGATTCCCAAGTATATTATTATAATATTTTTATTTTTGGAATTTGTAAAGGAACCCGACGAGTTGATGCTTAGACTCGCCGAGTAGGGCCGCGGATTATCATCCGGGTTCACGACTGGACTCGGCGATTCCATTAGTGGACTCGGCGAGTTCACGGTGTTTAATGAAACCCTAATCCCACGGGGTTAGAGCCTATTTAAGGGCACTCATAGTCCCCCATTGCAGCTACCAGTCCCTTGAGAGAACCCTAAGTGAGCTAAATCGTTTGGGAGGAAGGAGAAGCTATATTTGATCTTTATATCTTTGGTTTAGCAAGAAGAAGGTGATCAATAGCAAGAGGAGACTGAAGGAGGTGTGATTCTAGTGGTTTCAGAGTCTAGAGACTTCAACTTGAGGTATTTATTCGGACTTTCTTCAGTTTTGGTATTGATTCTTAGAGTTAGGGTTTTCTAACCTCTTTTGAGGATGGTTATGTGGAGCAATTGGTCCCTTCTCGAGTTTATGCTTTGGATCTGGACTCAAAGAGGTCTAGAGACCTTAATCCTTGGAGCTTTATGAGTTATCTTGGAAATCATGAGCTTAGAATGTCATTTTTGGGGATAAATCACCAAATGAGACCATCTAGATGATATATGAGTGTCAAGGTCTGGACTTTACGTGATTATTATGCTTAGGAAGGCCAGATCTATGGATTAGAGGAACAGATCTGACCTCAGGAGGTCAATAGAGTTTGTGCATGGCATGTACTCGCCAAGTTGTTCTTGAGACTCGGCGAGTTGGGTTGGGGTGGCCCCGCGATTCATACATGGGGACTCGTCGAGTAAAGGGAGGGACTCGTCGCGTTAAACGAGACTAAAGAGTTAGTGGACACATGTGGAATTGCCAAGTTGCCTAAGTGCACTCAATGAGTCGGGTCAAAGTTTGACCGTTGACTTTGGTTGACTTTTAGGGTTGATCAACAATGAGGGCCTTTGAGCCAAAGGGAGGGGTAAAATGGTCTTTTACCCTTCTGAGGGTGCCTAGAGAGGGTCGAGTCTAGTTTTGAGAGTTATATTTATGAGAGTATTACTTTATGTGTTTAGGCGGAGGCTAGATCGTGTTTATACCGAGTCAGTGATTTACTGGGACATATGAGGTGAATCTTCTCACTATACTTTACCTTGAGTGGTAATTAGAGTTATGTGATAGAGTTATTGTATGCTACTATGTGATGTGTTATACTGCATTATTTCTATGAGGTATATATCATGTGTATATCACAGTATATTAGAGTTAGAACCGAAAGGTTCACAGAGTTAGGACCAGAGGGTCCACAGAGTTAGGGCCCACGGGCCCACAGAGTTATGGCCTCGAGTGGCTAGTATGTGTATGTATGGTATTTTGAGGAACTCACTAAGCTTTATGCTTACCGTGTTATGTGTTATGTGTTTCAGGTACTAGTGATGATCACGGGAAGGCGCTGACATGATTCGTACACACGCATGGATTTTTATGTATTTTGATCTTGGGAAATATTTTGTGAAACAAAGTTATGATACAATGGGATTATGTTGATAAATGTGTTTGGAAATATGTGTTTAAAAATGTGAAAATTTGTTTTAAATTTTACGGTGTTACACTTCCGATTTCGACTTCAGATGCGACATCCTATGTTTGATCGATTTCTCATTTTGATTTTGATTTCCGAAAATCCGATTGGAAATCTGTGAGTACCGATTATGAGTCCTTCAATGTCGACTGTGACTGTGAGTCCAGAACTCCGAATCCAATTTCCCAAGAATTCCATATTAGTCTCTTGGGATAGCATAAAAGAAAGCTCACTCGGGCAGTAGGTGGCTGCATTAGAGAGTCGGTTTAATTATTTTAGCATTCTCATGCAACTTTGTTTAGGACAATAGGAGACGAACAACGAAGAAATTCCGGTTTAGTTGAAGAAATCTGGATGATTATTGAAGGTTGGAGGGAAATTTTGATGATGAATGAACTGTTATCGATACGTATTTGAGATTGAAGGTTATTAACATATTTACAAGTTTGTCACCGTATCTTTTTATGATTAGATTAAATGATTGGTTGAAAATGACTCCCCATTCTCAATATTTTTTATTTTCTCAATTGAACCCACCTATATATATATATATATATATATATATATATATATATATATATATATATATATATATATATATATATATATATATATATATATATATATATATATATATATATATATATTATATATATACCTTATTGGATTTGGATTGTTCAGTTGAAAAAAAAAACAGTTATACTATCTAAACCTTCTAATAAATGTTTTTCATGTCTATATTTTTTAAAGTAATTTGTAAAATGATATTTCTACATTTTTACTTTTTACAATGTCATTTTACCAAAATTTTGAATTTGTAAAATATCACTTTCATATTTTTTTATTTTGTAAACTTTTGTGCTTATTTCTCGGTGTATGGTGTATGTATGTATTGATATAAATTCAAAGTAGTTAATGTTTCGACGTCAATTTACAACTTTCGTTCGTTAATTTTTTTTGAATATTACTTCTTTTTTTATGTTCACGTCGATATAAATTCGAGATTGTCTACTTTTCAAAGTATTTTTTTAACGTTTTCGTTCTTATTTTTATGTATACTTGCTATGTATGAATTGGATCACATATAATACAATTCTGATTATTTGAACTTTGAATTTTTAATTAAAAAAATAATAGTCTTACATATTTTTATATATGTGTCGGTAATATTCAAGTTTCTTTATGTTTTGACGTAAATTTTTTTTGTAGGTTTTAGTGTTTATTTTTATATACGTTTCCTATGTATGAGTTCAGTCGTTATAAATTACAGATATCGATTATTTATATTTATCTAACAACAAATTCAACGGAATCTAACTTTTATTAATATAATTTTCAAAATTCGAACTTACAAAACAGATCGGTTTAAATTACGCACAACGCATGAAGGCAAATTATTTCGGTTACTAACTTTTTTTTGTAGGTTTTCTTTATTTTTGATAATTTCCGGTTACTGATCCAATGTATGAGAGAATTAATGTTGGTCAAATTTTGTAATGTTATGGTATTATTGTAAAAAACTTATTTCAACCAAAAAAATGTAAGTCAGGTTTAGAAGTTATATAGTATAATAATTCTTTTAACTTCAAAAGACATATACTTAGCATGGTAAACCAACTGTTCGTGAATAGTTTGGCTAGAAGTTCATCTGTGTTTGTTTATTTAATAAACGAACGAACATGAACAAGATATATTGTTCATTTAGTTAAAAGAACGGACACGAACAATGCTCTCATTCATTCATTTATGTTTGTGAACGTTTGTTTATGTTCGTTTACGTTCGTTCGTTTAATTTCCTTTACATTCGTTCATTTATTTTATTATGTGTTTGTACATCACATTTATAGGTTTGTTTACGTTTATTTATGATTATTTGTATTTGTTCGTTTATGTTCTTTTAATGTTCCTTTATGGTCGTTTGTGTTTGTGTTCGTTTAAGTTTGTTTGTGTTTGTGTTCGTTTATGTTAATTTATGTTCGTTTATCAGTTAAAGAAAAACAAACAAACTAAATTTCTTAACAAACGAACACGAATATAATTTTTTTTCTCGTTTAATTATTCATATTCATTCGTTTATTGTTTAAAGTTAAACAAAAGAGCCTCTGTTCTTGCTTGTTCGGTTAGTTTAGTCTTTAGGGTTTACAACCCTACATAGAGGACAAGAAAAATACTAAGAGATGAAATTGTTATGTAGTTAATAGAAAATATTAAATGAATAATTTAAAAAAATTTGTTATTATGGGTGTATTAATTAGATTTCAGTTTTGTAAAGTATAATCAATTAAATTTGGGAAATGAAACATACGCCCTATGAACTTTATAGGGTTTACCCTTTTAGTCACTTAACCTTTTAAGTCGCATTATGAGGGAACGAGATTTATTTTTTCGGGTCGATTATGTCATTATTTCATTTATGAAGTGGTCAGCCGGTCATATTTATGCCACCTGGTTTACTGAAATCCCATAGTCTGCTGACAGTGTATATTGTCCATTGTCATGTCATTAAATAATGTCACATATTAATTTGTTCACTCACTATTCATTAAATAGCTTTACTCATTTTAAACGAGACATTTTCCTATCGACTATTCACCACTTCCATCTCTTTCGATAAACCCTTACTTGCTTTTGTCTCCTCAAACCGCAAACATGGATCCCATATTCATCCAAGTCGATGTGCACTTCCAAGGAATCTTATCCAAATACCCCATACGCTACACCCGCGGGATTACTCAGAGGTTTTCAAACATCAATTTTGCAGGCATGGATAAGAATGGGTGTTATGAGTTTACCGAAAGGTTCACTGGAGAAAAGTGTGAGGAGCTCTATTACTACCAACCAGATATTGATTTTCCCAAAGGTTTGACCTTAATTTCCAATGAGATGCATTATGCCGATTTTATAGCAATTTCTTATCAATGTGGTGTTATACTCCATATGTATGTAGACCATTTTGGCAATAGTAACATGCAGGAATGGCTGGATGAACACAAAGAAGAGGTTTTGATAACATAGGGGAATAAGTGATTGATGGTGCAGGATTAATTAAGGAATTTGAGACATGGGCATTGGATGGGGATGAGGATGAAGATGAGGATGACCCTGGGGATGAGGATGTGGATGTTGATGACGATGAGGATGACCTTAGCAACCTTCATATTTTCAAAAAGAATAACGGGCCTGATATCGACATGGATGAGGATACATGTTTGGGTAAGCCTTTGGAAGAAGCCATAGATGACAATGAAGATGTTTATCATGATTTGCCAAATATTTTCAATGACAATCCACACTGGAAGGAGTAGGAGCATGTGTTAGGTATGAGGTTTGAGACCTAAACAATTGAAACACATGCCCTGTAACTATGCTGTTGCAAACGATTATCAATTCTGTTTTGTGAAAAAATAATAGTAGACAGTTGTTAGCCAAATGTTGTGATGGACAATGTACATTTAGAGTTTAGGGTTCATGGATGAGTGATGATAAGTCTTTCTTAATCAAGTCTCTTATTAGTAACCATAATTGTGAAATGAATTTCAAATTCGGATCAATTTTCACTTATAAATGGATAAGTACCCACTTTACCCAACAATTATTTAACAATCGAAAGATGAGTGTTAGATTACTTAGAGAGGAGGTGAAAACCACTTTTGGCATTGTTGTGAGTATAAGTCAATGTATGAGAGCCAAGAAGTATGCATTGAGTCTAGCTGAAGTCACGGTTGTAGAAAATTATGCTAGAATTTGGTCATACGATATGGAGATTAAAAGATCAAATTGTGGATCCACTGTTAAAAATTTTGTGGATACAATGCCTGATGGTAAGAATTACTTCAACAAGATTTACATATTCTTTAATGCAGTCAAAGAGGGTGGTTGGAGGGGAGGGTGTAGAAGGATCATTAACTTAGACGGTTGTTTCCTGAAAAGTTTTTGCCAATGTGAGTTGCTTTGTGCTGTTGGTAGGGAAAGTAACAACAGAATATTGCCAATTTCTTGGGCAGTTGTATGTGTGGAAAAGTGGAAATGGTTCATTGAAATCTTTTAGAAGATTCACAGTGTTGGAATAAAGGAAGTGGTTTGGTTTTAATTTCTGATCAACACAAGGTTTGTTTTTAAAATATTAAACATAATATAATAAATATATGTTTGTTTCGAAAATATCAAACATAGTATAATAAATATAGGTTTGTTTCCAAAATGTTAAACATAGTATAATAAATATTTACATTTATAACTTCACTTATTCCTATTACATATGAAGGGTTTGGTTGAGGCAGTCAAAGAAGTATTCCCAGTAATAGAACATAGGCAGTGTGTTAGGCATATATATATATATATATATATATATATATATATATATATATATATATATATATTAGAAAAAAGCTTTAGTGGATCTAAGTTTGAAAATTTGTTTTGGAGAGAAAGCAAGCAACAACTGAAGCACATTAACATAGTCATGAAAGATATTGAAAAGTTGAGACCTGAAGCCGATATGCATCTTATGGATAGAGATCCAAAGACTTGCTCTTTAGCTTTTTTTAGAGCTCACAATTCATCTTGTGAGTCTGTGGAGAATGGATTTTCAGAGAGTTTTAATAGTGTCATTTTGGATGCTAGGAAGAAACCTATTATCAACATGTTAGAGGAAATTCGTATATATGTGAAGCAAAAGGATGGTGACTATGAAACTAACAGGTCAAGGGATGAAAATGTTGCTCTTTTTGTCTAAATATCAGAACATGATTGAATATTCTCCAAACTAACTAAAGGTTTGCACACTTATTTATTCATACATACCTTACCTCTCTTAACTCTAAATATTTTCATTACATTATGTAGCATTGGCAGGTCGTGTCTTGTGGGGGTATAAAGTTTGAAATAAGGAACATGGATGAGTTATACGTTGTTGGTGTCACAAAAGGAATGCAGTTACTGGTTATGGAAACCAAATGGCAATGTTTACGTTCATTCAGTAGCTATATTAGCATATTTAAACATCACACCTGATAGACCATATGTAGATGCATTGTAACTGCGAGCCTTCTTCCATAATACCCACAAACAGTCCAGTAATGGCATGAATGGAATGAACATGTGGCCTTATACAAAATATATACCTCCATTGAAAAGAAGAATGTCAGGCAAGACAACCATGAAAAGAATAAGGGATTCCTATAAAAGGTCTAGAAAACACATGGTTTCAAAGGCAGGGAAAAAAGGTTTCTTGTGGCATATTCAAATAGAAAGGACACAACAAGACAACTTGCACTCAAGTGCCAAGGCTTCCTAAAACTAATTTCACAAATAAACAAAATATTATGCAAACACAAGAGAGAGTGAATATGTAAGGGGGTGGGGAAGATGTTGTTATGGGTGATGCATTTGAGCCACATGCTAAAGAAGTTGTGAGGGTAAACGAATATGAGGATGCGGTGAGGGATAATGAAGCTAAGGAACTAGGGAAGGTTAATGAAGTTGTTGGGCGTGTGTATAGCACATGTCAACCAAGAAAGAGGAAAAAGTATGAGAGAATTCTTAAACTAAAACTTGCTAAGAGGGTTGAAGGTGAAAGTAGTAGTGTTATATCGCCAATGGAGTTGGATTAATTAGAGTTTTAATTGTGTGTATGTTATGTGGATTAAGTAATGTTATTAATGTGGTCGGGAACAAGGGAATTTATGTTTGTTATGTTCATGTATATTATACTAATATTAACATTTAATATTTGGATTCGTGTATGTAATTACATTATGTATGATGTTATTTATATTAGTGTGTACGGGGTACTTTAGTCATTACAAATATTTAAACAGGTAGCTGCAGTTTAGTCATTTGAGATACTTAGGGCAATAATGTTAGTTTAGGGGTAGTTTAGTCATTTGAAGTAGTTAATCCAATAGGTGTATATTATTTCAGGTAATTAATAAAGTAGGGGTATTTTAGTCAATCAAAGAAGTTACCGTTAGGGGTATTATTGTCATTTCAACTAATTAAAGAAATAGGGTATTTTATTCTTTCAAAGCGGGTAATCCATTAGGGGTATATTAGTTGTTTGTGTCAGGTAACCCTGAAGGGGTGTGGCGGGCATTTTTGTTAGTACTTTTGTAACGCTCGGTTCCTTGTATGTATTTTAAATCAATTTATTCATTTTTGTACAGGAACTCGACGAGTTGGAGGCCCCAAACTCGTCGAGTAGGAATGAAATTTGGACGCGGAATTTAAAGTCTACTCAACGAGTAGGGATGCCAGAATGAAACCCTAATTTTCAGGGTTTAGCACCATATTTAAAAACCTTAACCTCCAAAGGCTAGCCTCATTTGCAGCTGATGCGTGCAATAAGCTACACCTAATTTTAATATTTATAACCTAACTTCCTTACTAACTAAATTGCACTGAGGCAGTGTACCTAGTCAAATTTATAGAATAGTCGAGTAAGTCAGGTGTCGATCATAGGGAACGGTGCTAACTAATTAATCTATTTACCACTAAATTGACCTAATTACTAACAAAAGAAGGGTTTTTATCTAATTTTGCAAGATCAAACGAACTTAATTTAATTTCAATCAATTACTAAAAACACTCTTGTTTAGTTCGAATCCACTTCTTCTTTATGGTTAGCTAACAATTATGGATTGTCAAGTTGGTTATTATTGTATTAGTAATTTAAGTCTAAATTTACCAATATTAACTAATTCATGTAAAACTATATATGGTCACACACAGTTAAACACATAATAAGTTTTAGATTATGAATTTGCTATGTAAGATTAGGCAAAAACAATTATGGTCATAATTTCTGTTCTCTAGCACAGTTAAATTTTTTTACTTCAATTACTTTCTAAGATTTTGGTCGATCCTAGCTCTAGCAATTTAATGCTCACTAAATCACTAGTTTAACAAGTTCATGCAGTCTAATAATCACTATGCTACAGAAAACATGAATTCAAGCGACTAAAGAAATGAATATTAACATGCTAGGTAATAACAAATCAAACACAAACAATTTACCAACTAATCAAATCCATTAATAATTAAGCTAAACCATATGTCAGAAGCTTCATCTAGCTAAACAAGAGTAGCTAGATTCAGCTACTCATAACAACAATCAAACAAACACAAATCAAATTAATAAACATGTTCATAAGTACTAAACAAATAAACTTATTAAGAATTTTTACTCCTTTGGCTTTGAAATGCTCTTTCCAGAACTTCTTTCCTTCTAAAAATCGTCTTCTGAAAACCTTCCAACCAACCAAAAATTCTTCAAATCGTAATGGCCAAGAATATTTATAGTTTTTTGATTTTGCCGAGTTCACGTCGGGAACCAATAAGTCTCACAACGTGAATATGGGATAAACGTGTTCGACAAGGATTCTTTCACCCGGATGCATATCTTCTAGATTACTCCACTCACAACGTGAATCTATAAATGATCACGTCGTGAGTACGTATATTGCTGATTTTTTTATCGTTCTTCTTTCAAGGCGTCATAGTTCCATGCTTTGTCCATTTTAGTCCCTTTCTTCGAAATTGCTTCATTTTGGTTGTAAATAACAATTTAACCTTATAAGTACCATAATCCTATGCAGATAACCAAAATATCAATATAAATGTAAATAAATATTGCCTATAAATATGTATAAAAATGGCAATATCAAAATACCCCACACTTATGCTTTGCTTGCCCTCAAGCAAATTTACTTAATTTAAACTTAAACCTTCATCACTAGCATCACATAAAAAATTCCAATTCCAGCTCAGCCATTATGCCAAGACCTCAACGCATGCATTTGTGTCTAAAATTTTTCCTAAAGAACCCCCCATATTCTAAATACTCATACTCCTCATAAACAGTCGCCCACTTCTTTTGAACAATGTTCATTTTATGCATCCCTCCGAATCGATCCTCGAAAAACCTCTTTAGCCTCAAGGTATTTTTGCAAAGCTACCCAAGCATACATAATCTAGAGAATTACAACTTTTAGATACCACAATGGAGCTCTTGAATTCTTCTTTAATATTTGATTTCTTCGAATTCACCACCTTCTTGTGTGATTTTTGGTATCTTTAACTTGTGATTTTTCAGAATTTGGGTCTTTTAATCTTCATACTTTTATAGCTCCAAAAGTTCTTCAAAATTTTCACTTTTTGGTAATTTCTCTCTTTTTTTTACATGTACTCACTTTTTTTTTTTTCACTCAAACACCTACATGCTTAAGCAGTGGTGCTTAACTTCAACCCTTATTGGTTAAGATAAAGGCCTTACTGGAAAGATTTTTTGTACACGATGCTAAACATATTGCATTCCTCAAATTAAGCGAGGTTTTGTTTTTTTCTCATGGTTTCACTAGAATAAGGGAGGCTACAGATGCACTATAATGTATATTGGCCAAACTAAACATTTGAGCTCTCATCGGATCATCCCACACAACGCTAGCAACTTAAGTTTAGTTATCATTTTTACTAGAATGTTTTATTAGATTATTATTTCAAATCTATTTCTAACAATTTTTAAATTTCCTTTAATTTCTAGCAATATTTACTTTTTCGACCCCCTACCCCACACTTATTACATACAATGCCCTCATTGTATGCATAAAATAAATAAAAGCATTAAAAGCGAGAAAAAGGAACAAAATCCCCTGGGATAGTGGCGTGATGGAGCTCCATAAGTGCGGATAAAATGTGCATCTCGAATATGAACCTCTTATAAATAAGAACTCGGACTTGAACCCGCGAAATATGAAAATAAACCAATAAGTAACAAATCGAAACTTAAATCTTCAAGAAAGGTGGATGCAAATCTCCAAAACGTGTAGAATAATGTGGGAAAACATACACCACATTTATAGTAGAGGAAACGAGTCATAATAGTTGTCATAAGAACTCCAAGTAATATGGTGGTAATCAATGTGGTGAATCCGAACAAGAAAAGCTTCAATTTGGTGAACACAGAAAACTCACAACGTGAGTCACATGTCCCACGATGTGAAAGCGCTGAACTGCGTATTTTTATATTGCCTCGTAACCCAACTCACGAGGTGAGAAATATAGCCTCACGACGTGAGAACTAGGCAATTGAAAATTAAAATCGCCCATTCTTCTTAATAAGTTTAACATTCCACCCCCAATATCTTAATGAATAAAGGCACTTCCAAATGCAGAATTTCTATGACGTTTCTCTAACTTTATCCTCTCTCTCGACTCACCCCACACTTATTTTCAATTATGGGACTCAATTCGCGACTCTAGACTCTAGACAACCCTTGGCTAGACACATACGCTCTCGACTTGACCTTCTTTTCCAAGACTCCATAGCAAATCTGAAAATAAAGCCACCAAAGGACGACTAAAAGTAACATAATAGTTTAATAAGTTTTACAAACCATAACAAGTTTAAAAACCAAACAAATGCAAACTAAACTAAAAATAAAAACTAAATAAGAACTCAATCGTCATCTACTTCATCTTGTGCTCCGCTTGTACCGGCTCTATCTCCCCTTTGGCCTCGATACTCACTCCACCTATGGAAAATTGAGAAATGATACCCCAAGTGAGGAGGTTGATCCACATGTAAATGTTGTACCATATTTTCCACAGTCCCTCCAATCCAATTGACACTTAAAGAGAGCTTATCGAAATACCCAACCATATCATCCCCAAAATGTGGTCCTACCATGGGTGCGGGTGGATGCACCAGTTGCCCTCTTTCTCCTCGTCCTCTCACGTTCCTCCTACGAGGCCTTGGTTGTGGTTGTTGCTTACGCTATGCACCAGGCTTCCCTCCATCATCACCCTCATCATCAGTATGAACAAGGCCCCAATGAGACCCAAAATTCCGAACAACCCTCAATGTTTCCAAGAATCCCATAGAGAATTCGTTTCCCTCCATGCAAGTCAAAGAACGATTGATGTCGGGAACGATGAGACCATAAGACCAGGCCAAACATGTAATAAAGTTCCCTCCACAAATAGGGCTTCCAGGACGGGAACTCGCTGCATACTCCGCCAAATAGCGGGCCAAGAAATATAGAATGTTACAGCACACGCCTGGCTGTAGAGTGCACCATAAAAAGAACAAGTTTATTTTGGTAACCTTATCACCATGGCGTTTGTAGTGAATAGAAAAATGTGATAAGGCGATGGATAAGGCGGTGAACTGGTGATTTAATGCTGCTTTCTGGAGATACAACGGAGTTGAACACACCAGAAGGAATATTGCTCCAGAACTCGGGCCCCGATACCCCATTCTCATATCCACGTATGGCCTCCCTCAGAAACAATACAAACTCATTATTCATGGTCTCGTGAGCCTTGTACAAAGCCATCCTCCATGAGAACTTGACCAAACTACATTCTTGGTATTCACCTCCGATACAAAAAACTAAAGCTTGCGGGAAAGTAGGATCTTGGACATTCTCATGGAATGCCACAGTTGAAAAGAATTCCACGCATAGCTCCTTGTATACCCTCTCCTAGATAGCAAACAAATTATACCACCCCTTGCATGTGAACAAAAATACATTCCTCAAAAAACAACTTTGTGAGATATTGAGACATCCAATCAAGAAGTACAACCTCCCTCAATCTTGCCTAATGAATGGTA